TTTGTTTCGGTGAATAAAGAGTAGGATTGGCTAAAATAATCTTTGGGGCCCCAAAAAATCCCAATTTGGATCATGTAATAGAGGTGAGATAAATGTTGGGCTCAATTAGTCGGCCCGTAGGATAAAAATAATCTCTTTTGACTTGGATTTGAAGAGCACACCATAGAATATATTTTCTTACAACGAGATAAAAATTATTTTTATCAATATACCTCAAAATAATAAAAAACTAGGATTAATGGTCATTTTAATATTAATTGATTTAGACATGTGCATGGGCTGACACTTGACATGTATCTACCTAAATGAATGATTAGATGAGATACATATGCATTGGACATCTCTCCCCTTGGACATCTTTGCATTAGGGCGGATGAGATTAAGTTCAAAACCAATCCAACCCAATCCAACTTCGAGAATCCAAACATGCCCTCAAAGTCTAACATAATACACTGACGATATGTCCCCTTCTAGAGTCTAAATGAAGAAGTATAAATATTGTTAGACCATATCAGTCAAAGTAGGTCAGATTTTTAGGTTTTAATAATACATTCTTTTAGTTTTTGGCTCATATTTTGGTGAAGCATACACTAGTTACTTTTTATTAGGATTATTTTGGCTTTGATACCACAAATTAAATTAGATACATACACTTACCCAAAAAAAATACTTAACTCAAGATCAAAGTTGTCGGCCTAAATTTTATATACAAATTCATGAGCATTAGAAAGCGAGGTGGTTCTCATGTTAATATAGCCTTACTTTTTTTTTTCTTTCACATTATGTATTGTTTGTAACTCGTTCTCTTCAATTCTAGGCAGTTGTGATCGATTTGGAAGATGCACATGAACAGATTGATGCAGCCATTGTAACAGCGTTAAGAGAAAGCAAGCCTGTCTACATATTAATAAGCAGTAATTTGGCGAGCATTCCTCACCCTTCTTTCATTCACAAGCCAATTCCTTTTTTCTTGATTCCAAGGTAATCTCTTGATCCAATACCATACTAGTATGACAAGAGTATGGTACCAAAAAGATTATTTTTGATTTTCATACCAATAACAATCTGGTGAATTAACGTGGAAATATGGTTGTTTTAGATCAATTCCAATATTCTGCAACGGTAATATAGCCTTCTTGTGTTGTAAGTTGATTAAATTGAGTCATAACCTCACCAAATTTAATCATAATCTCACATTTATGTTGTAATAACTTTTGTGTAGGAAGAGTAATCCAATGTGCTTAGAAGCAGCAGTTGAGGCAGCAGCAGCATTTTTAAACAAAGCAGCAAAGCCAGTTTTGGTGGGAGGGCCAAAACTGCGCGTTGCAAAGGCATGTGATGCCTTTGTAGAACTAGCCGATGCTTGTGACTATGCGCTCGCAGTAATGCCCTCGGCCAAGGGGCTTGTCCCGGAGAACCACCGTAGGTTCATCGGTACTTACTGGGGTGCAGTAAGCACTTCAATCTGCGCAGAAATTGTGGAATCTGCCGACGCTTACCTCTGCGCCGGACCAATCCTTGACGATCTCACCTCTGTTGGGTACTCATTTCTCTTCAAGAAGGAGAAGGCAGTTATTGTTCAACCACAGCGTGTGGTGATTGGTGATGGACCTACGTTTGGGTGTGTTCTTATGAAGGATTTCTTCAAAGCACTTGCCAAAAGGCTTAGGTCCAACAGAACAGCTTATGACAACTACTACAGGTTATATGTTCCAGAGGGAGTTCCTTTACAGACTGGACCCATGGAGGCATTAAAGGTCAATGTTCTCTTCAAGCACATACAAAAGATGCTGTCAGGAGACGTGGTTGTGATTGCAGAGACAGGAGATTCATGGTTTAATTGCCAAAAGCTTAAATTACAACAAGGATGTGGGTAAGCAATTCAAGTATGGTGTAACTACTTTTGGTTTGGTTTGTGATTTTTGTTAAGAGCCTCACATACATATTATATTTGGATATTTAATAACTTGAAATTTTAAAATAACATGACATTAGAGTTATGGTTTGAGATCGTGGGTTCAAGTTTCACCATCGATATTGTACGATCCTTGTAAGTTGTACAGTAAGAGCTAGACCCATATATATAAATATGCGTGTGTTTGTGTCATGCAAATATTGTATTTGGTTTTAGAATTATAGACATTACATTTTGGGGGTAGCGGACAGTTCAACAATATTGACCATAGTTTAAGAATATTGACAAATTTAAAAGTTGAGTGCAGGTACCAGTTACAAATGCATTATGCATCGATTGGATGGTCAGTTGGTGCAACTCTTGGATACGCACAGGCTGCACCGAATAAACGGATAATTGCTTGCATTGGCGATGGGAGCTTCCAGGTATATATAGACTTGGCTTATCACATTATTTACAAAGGGTATGTTTGATTCAAATATTAAAAAATGGGATTGGGTTAAATTAGTCAAATTAGATGTGAGAGAACACTTACATTTTTTTAACTTTAATAGCATATACCATTGTTATCAATTATTTCGGCAATTACAAATTGGAGTACAACAATAAATCATTCAATCTCATCATATATTTTATTCGAACCATACACACTATACTACTTGCAAATATTGATAATCACAAACTGTAACACCTGTCATATTTGATGCTGCCTGCTAGATGACTGCACAAGAAGTGTCAACAATGCTACGATGTGAACAGAGAAGCATTATCTTCCTAATAAACAATGGTGGATACTCCACAGAAGCTCAGATTCATGATGGGCCATACAATGAGATCAAGAACTGGGACTACACTGGCTTGGTACATGCAATCCACAATAATGAAGGCAAGTGCTGGACGGCTAAGGTGAGCTACAAAACTAAACACCTTGTGCTTAAATTTGGAGGAAACATTCCCTTGTGTCATAAATTGTGAATGTGGAAAATAAAATAATCAAGAAAAGACGAATGTGGTTTAGAACAAATGTGTTACATCTTTAAATATAGGGCGAGTATACAATCACATCTCATTGAGATTATAAATGAGCATTAAAAAATCGCTTTGGCTGATCTCATTACATCACATGTTTTTACTTGATCTTATTTTCAACAGTGTGACATGATATGACCATTCTGTGAATTTATTGCTGTAGGTGCATTGTGAGGAGGAATTAGTAATGGCTATAGAGATGGCAATGGGGGAGAAGAAAACCTGCTTGTGCTTCATAGAGGTGATTGTTAATAAGTACGACACGAGCAAAGAGCTCCTTAAGTTGGGTCCCAGGCTTGCTGCTGCCAATGGCCGCCCTCCAAACCCTAAGTAAACCACTCACTGCTGCTAGCTCCAAAAGAATCTGTTATATTAGAAGCCATTAACAGCGTAAGTATCCTCCTAATCTCACTGACTTTTAATGCGTCGATTCTAGAAATAGATGCTCTGAAACACCCATATATTAGTAACAAAATTTGATATCAAGGTATTGTAATGCAAGATCCGGATCCTATCCAGGGACCATATGGAGCTTATTTTGCCTATTAGTATCTATTCTATTTTTACTGAAACTTCGTATAAATATATATATATATAAAATGAATTTAATAGTACTTGGATTTATGTTAAATTTTCATGATTCTTGAGATTACCTCAAAAGTTTGTTTTGTGTTAGTTATGTCTTCATTTCATCAGTAAATGTTACATCGCCAATTAATAACACCTAGAGAACCAAAAAACACTAGAAGCTGAACCTCTACCAAAATCGGTCAGAGGGAGAGATGCATTTCATTTCTTATATAGGCGATTAAAGATGCATAATCAATTACAAAGGATGTCAAAAAACTTAAAAATTAGCAATACACTTTGATTAATACTCTAATGCTAAATTATTAGAGTACCAATCTATTTGTGAGCGTTTGTTGGAGTGCACTCAACTGTGGGAATCGTTCCAATAGCTCTCCTCATTATGTTCCCCTCCCGAGTTAATCACTGCATTGTGATCGGATTTTATTTCCTCAACATGATGAGATTTTATCTTTGTCTCCTCGGTATCCTTATATGAGCACTTAGTAGCATCATTTTCCTTAACACTCCCCCTCAAGTTGAGATGGGAAGAAGGCAGTACACCCACTTTTTATTCTTTTATTTTTTCATCCACTCAACCAATAATAACATAAATGTATGCTCTATATTCGTCTAGAATGATTGTGTTGAAGGTTAACCTCAAAACAGTTAGATCTATTTGTTTATGAAACCATTTCACTCTCTTTAATTTAGGGATAAGGAATTGTTTGCATGTACCTTCCGACCATTTGCAGGGACTGTCTTGTGTTTTGCGTAACTTCTTAAAATAAAAGTCTACCTGAAAAATGGATTTTATGATATAGATTTTGTGGGATGAACTTCTAAAAAATGTTGTATGTTTGGTGAACATACTTTTTGAAAGTACTTGTGAATCAAAAAACAAATCAATTTATACAAAGTGTGTATGGTGATAATATTTCAAAAGTGTAAAATAACAATTGCTTAGCAATATTCCCCTCTACTTTTGGAAATTGTTGTTTGAACTCGACAATTGTCCTCATGCACCCCACATACATATAATTCTATCTTCAGTTTGGGACTGGTGAAGCAGAAGAGGTTGGAAGTTCAGTCCAATTGTGTCATATCCTCTTCATATTATGTTATTTCAAGTTCTTCTCTACTCTTAGATATATTTGGTTTCAGTTGTTTAATTGATTGTGTTACATGTTTTAACATCAAAATATTTATTTTTGATATATGATAAAAAAAAAGAGACATCTAAAAATAAAGATATATTTTATTAATTATTAAAAATATATGTTTATGCAATACATGCGTTCAAATTTTCAATAATTTTGAATAAATATCATATCTGATACCATCCTCGTTCGACTTAAATGGCCACATCAATACTCCACCAGCCAATGCCACATTCATTTCCCCGGGTAAAGTAGTACTCTGCCTTCATCAATGTGGTAGAACCATTTAACCTTGAGAACAGGTGTCCTCTGTGGTTGTCATGAAAATTAGAAAAGACCACCATTGATAAATAGTTACCTACTACTGTTTCACTCCACCCCGTAAATATTTTGCTTCCAACCCTCACATACACATAAAGCTAAAGAATGAAATAGTTTTGCACTTCCTGTGCGACGGCACCGATAACACGAGGATCAAAAGCAACGTAGACGGTGTTGGAGAAGACTTAGTTTCAGATATACAGGTAAGTTTGAGTGTATAAATGTGTAAATGTATATGTGTGAGAGAGAGTGTGTACTATGAGAGGGAGATGATTAAAGAGCAACTGATAATGGCGGGGTTTTGTAGATTCCTAAACTTAAAGGGCTACAAGTAGGGGCTGAGCCAGGATCTTCTCTTAGAGGGGACAAAAAAATGACGAAAAAAAATTCACTAATTGATACAAAAAATTTCAAGTTCAAGCATGATAAAGTGTTATATAATCAAGGCTAAATTATTATATGAAACTAAAAAATAAAATTTTGTTTAAAATATAATCTATAAATAGCTTTTAAATCTCAAAAATAGGGTATAAGTGATTTTTTTAAGCTACTTACTTAAAGAAAAAAGGTTAGGGATAACTTTTCACATTTATTTTCCTCAATTCAAAAATAAAACATTTGTTTCAAGCAGGCGATAAGGCAGTGAGCTACTAAGTTGTTTAAAATAAAAATAAAAAAAAGACTTGGATCACTATTAATTCTCAAATGCATGTTTGTATATTTCTAGTCTAAAATCAAGTCAATATGAATATTTAATGATCACTAAAATGATATAGACGTGTTTGTATTGAGGGTATCGTTATATAATCTTTCAAAAATGATCAAAACCCGTAATAATTATACTAAAAAATGATTTGGTATGTTCTTTGAAATATCAATACTTATAGGTTGTGTAGAATAAAAACTTTAAGAAGTTAGGGATGTTGTTAGCCCATTTACTCAAAAAAAAATTAGCCCATTAACTATGGGCCTTGAATAAAATAGTGGGGTTTTTTGGGTGTTGGTACACGTTTTTAGATTTTTTTGAGGAAAAATATATGGATAAGTTGTTTACTCTTTTAAGTTTAATTTTAATAAAACATATTTTGTTTAGGTACAAAATTTAAATGAAATTAAAACTTTTTTACCTAAATATTACGCTTGATTGACAGTTATATATCTAATCAAATATGTAAAGATTTCATTAGATTATCTCTCATATTTTCTCTCTCTCCCTGTTACTTTTCTCATCTCTCCCCTATATTCTCTCTTTATCTATCATTGATAATTTATTTCCTTTTCTAATATATAAAGATTTGATTTATTTTTTCATTTCTTTCTCCTATTTTTTTCTCTCTCCCCCTATTTTCTCCAACTGTTTCTCTCTCTCTCTCTCTCCCTATTTTCTCTTTCTATTTATATCAATATTATAACAATACAATTACATTAATCAGTCATATCAATTAGTTACAATTATACTATATTATACCAAACAGTTACCTATGTGTTCTAATTAACCAAACAATTACATAAAATTTTTACATTAACCCAATTTGTCATTCAGTTGTTTACATAAACTAAATAGTTGTACTATTTAGTATCGCGGCATCGTTACACCAATTACATTTATCAAATTTAGTATAATGGTAAAATTTTTTGTGTAATGATAAACCTAATTTGGTGTAACTATATCGTGATACTAAATGATATAATTATTTGATTTATGTAAATAACTGAATGACAAATTGAGTTGGTGTTATAATTTCATATAATTGTTTAGTATAATTATTTTATTTATTAGAACACATGAGTAACTATTTGGTGTTTTATATGGTAATTGTAACTAATTTGTATAATTGATTAATGTAATTGTGTTGTTATAACCTTGATATAAGGGAGCGAGAGAGAGAGATAAAAAAATTAAATCCAATCTTTACAGATTTAAAAATAAATAAATTATCAATGTGAGAGAAAGAAAGAGATAGAGAATACATAGAGGGAAAACAGGGAAGAAAGAGTGAGAGAGTAATGCAGAGATAATGACAGAGAGTAATGGAGTAATAAATTGTCTTTTAGTTTTTTTTTCAAAAAAATGCACTTAGGGTCAAATAAGTTTTGTTAATCTAGTTTTGCCTAAATAAGTCTAAATTTTTGTACCGACTTCCAAATTACCTAACATAGTAATAGGGTCACTATTGGTTTGATAGTGATAAAAATTAAAAAAAAAAAGAGGATATTTTGGCTATGGGTAATAGTTTTTTAGACTTATTTGAGGAAAAGTATATGGATAAATTGGTTACTCTATTAAGTTCAATTTTAATAAAACATATTATGTTTGAAAAATGTCATTTGAACTTAAAAATCTAACATAATTTACTGACCTAATGATGTGGCTTTATTGGAACCATTAGATAAACACTAAGTTTCAATGTTTGATGGAGCCCACAGTTAATCCAAAGGTCATAGTAAATTAGTTCAGTAAATTAGGTACTAATAGCATTGCTCATTATGTTTAGGTACAAAATTCAAATGAAATCAAAATTATTTTACCTAAATACCCTCTCTTAAATTATGTATTTTTGATTGACAGTTATATATCTAATTAAATATGTAAAGATTTCATTACACTCTTACTATCTCTCCCCTATTTTCTTTCCATCTGTCGTTCCCATATTTTCTCTCCATCTATCTCTCTTTTCCCGTTACTTTCCCCATCTATCCCTTATTTTTTCTCTATATTTATCATTGATAATTTATTTTCTTTTCAAATATATAAAGATTTAATTTATTTTTCATCTCTCTCCCCTTTCTCTCTCTCTCCCCCTATTTTTTCTCTCTCTCTCATTTATATCAACATTACAACAACACAATTACATTAATCAGTTACAATTGTCTTATAATATACAAAACAGTTAGTCATGTTTTCTAATAAACTAAACAGTTACACCAAACAATTACACAAATTTATAACACCAATCTAATTTATCTTTCAATTGTTTACATAAATTAAATAGTTGTACCATTTAGTATTGCGACATCGTTACGCCAATCATATATACCAAATTTAGTATAATGGTAAAGTCTTTTGTGTAATGATAAATCCAATTTGGTGTAACCATATCGTGATATTAAATGGTGTAACCCTTTGATTTATGTAAATAATTAAATGATAAATTGAGTTGATGTTATAATTTCGTATAATTGTTTAGTATAACTGTTTTGTTTATTAGAACACGTGAGTAACTATTTAGTGTATTATAGGATATTTGTAACTAATTAGTGTAACTGATTAGTGTAATTGTATTTTGTAACATTGATATAAGGAGAGAGAAAAATGGAGAGAATAAGGAAATAAGGGTAGAGGGAGTGAAAGAGAGAAAAAAAAATAGGGGGAGAGAGATAAAAAAATTAAACCAAATATTTACATATTTAAAAAAAATTATAATATGAGAGAAAAAGATAGAGAAAAATATATAGAGAAAAAATAGGGAAGAGAAAGTGAAAGAGTAACGGAGAGAGAGTAATAGAGTAATAAATACTCTTTTAGTCTTTTTTCAAAAAAGTGCACTTAGGA